TGGGAGTACAACCTGAGGCTGCTCCCAGCAAATCCTTGTCCCCTCTGTCATCGCAAAGGCTCCATCCCCAGCACACGAACCTCCTTGATGTGCACGTGGCTCCCGTTGCCCCACAGCCAGCGCTGGCCTTGTGGCCAGGCACCCCACACTCCAGCAGCAGGTTTTTGGGGCGGCTCTACAAGCTGTGCTCGGCACAGCGTGCCCGGCTGTCACCCCAACTCACCGTATGGTGATCTCAAAGATCTGGTTGAGCTTGCTCTGCAGCAGCGTCGCCTGCAACACAGACACAGCGGCTGTATTAGCGTGGCTGCGCCCCGGGAACCGCAGTGGGACAAACGGGACAGACACCCCGTTGGCTTTCCCCTGGCTGGGGAGGGTGTCCTGGCAAAATTCACCATCTGCCCCTCGCCATCAGAGAGAACACAGGGATTTGGGGTTCCCGACTCACCCGGGCGCCGCAGTGGGCAGCGATCTCCTCAAACGGGGCTTTCTGAAATTTCTCCACCACTTGTCGCCTCCGCTCCCGCTCCTGCTCCTCCACGGCGACGCTGTCTACTGAAGCAGAGGGGAGATGGCTCTCAGCTGCTCCCCACCCACAGAGGTCACCCCATCCCGCATCCCCGCCTTCCCAGACGACGGCATGGATTCGGGCAGCACTAGAAAGCCAAGGAGAGGGTCTCCAGCACCTGGCTTTGGGACCAGCCCTCACCCCCCAGGGACACCCCCAGGGCCAGGCAGAGCTATGAAGCTGCCCACTCGCCCTGTGACGTGGGCGCGAGGCTGCCACGGTGAGGTGCTGGGACTCCTCCCTCCGTGGTGCGCACGGACAGGGGTGGAGGTGACACCTTGCAGCAGCACCCACCTCTCCGTGCCACGGCCGGCTCCCTCGCTTACCTATCGCCTTCTTCAGCGTCTCATACGTGATCTCTTCTGCTGGCGCTCGCTGTGGGAAGGGGGAAAGCAGATGAGGCTCAACACACCCCACAGGATGACATTCTGGGATCGCAGCGACCCAGAACCGGTGTCCTGGGCTGTATTCTCACACCAAAACACAGCCCAGCGATATCTTTCCTGGCAACGTGCATTTTTAAAACGTGTTTTTTCAGGCTGGACTAGCCTGGCCTTATACCTCCCCAAAGGCTAAGAAATGGTGGTGCAGAGGAGGCCACAAAGATGCTCAGAGGGCTGGAGCACCTCTGCTATGATGAAAGGCTGCGAGAACTGGGCTTGTTCAGCCTGGAGAAGAGGAGGCTCCGAGGAGACCTTATTGCAGCTTTCCAGTATCTGAAGGGGCTACAAGGGTGCTGGGAGAGGACTTTTTACAAGGGTCTGTAGTGACAGGACAAGGGATAACGGGTACAAATTGAAAACAGGGAGGGTTAGATTAGATATCAGGAAGGAATTCTTCCTGTAGAGGATGGGGAGGCACTGGGACAGGTTGCCCAGAGAAGCTGTGGATGCCCCATCCCTGGGAGTGTCCAAGGCCAGGCTGGATGAGGCTTGGAGCAACCTGGTCTAGTGGAAGGTGTCCCTGCCCATGGCAGGGGGGGTGGAACTAGATGATCTTTAAGGTCCCTTCCAACCCAAACCATTCTGTGATTCTATGAAATATGCACACATGAAAGATAAAGATTTGCCACTCAAACGGCAGCGTGACCCTTCATGCCACGTGGCTTCCCTTGCAGGCTGCGACCTGGAGGGGAGCATCGGGGGGAATCGGGGGGGTTTCTGGCCATGCTGACTACCAGACACGCTGGGGCTGAGTTAGGGGACCCTGAGCTTGCAGCCAGAGGAGCAATTAGGGGTGCAGGCAACTGAAGGATCAGAGAGGGCTTTGTTGCACGCTGCTAAAAGCCTGCGGTGCTGAAGGGGTGACACAGCCTCGGCAGCTCCGGCGGAACACGGTACCTGCTCTCGCTCAGGACTGTTTCTTGACTCCACCTCAACCTGCAGGGAAATGGTCTCACCAATGCTCTTCCTTTTGGACAAGCGATCTTCATCTAGGGAGGAAGAGAAAGGTCAGGTGAGCTAATTGCAGCCACCTTGGGGGCAGCACAGGCAGCACCCTGGGAACACATCCCATCCCCAGGGAACAGTCCATCCAAGCCATTCACCCAAACTCATCCAGACCAGTGGAACTGAGGGCTGAGCCAAGCCCAGAGGGGTTCATGGCTCCTCCCGCCCAGCCAGCCATGCTCATGGCAGCCCCAGGAAGTTCCCGATTAACTACTCTGTGCCTCAGTTTCCCCAAGATCTCACCTCTACTAGAGCAGAAGAACAACAGTCACACATGTAGCACAAGAACTTCATACTCCCATAACTCCCTTTTCCCAAGGGCAGGGAGTGACAGGACAAGGGGTGATGGGTTTAAACGGAAAGAAGGAGGTTGAGATGGGACATCAGGAAGGAATTCTTCCCGCAGAGGGTGGGGAGGCACTGGGACAGGTTGCCCAGAGAAGCTGTGGATGCCCCATCCCTGGAAGTGTCCAAGGCCAGGCTGGATGAGGCTTGGAGCGACCTGGTCTAGTGGAAGGTGTCCCTGCCCATGGCAGGGGGTGGGACTGGGTGGGCTTTAAGGTCCCTTCCCACCCAAACCATTCTGTGATTCTGTAACTCTGCAGAGCAAGGGACCAATTTCCTCCCCTCCCAGATCTCCAGGGTGCCCCAGGGTGCTGTGTACCTGTCAGCTGGGGGATGTAGGGTGTGCTGAGCCGATCCGAGTTGTAGCCGCTGCCGCCCAACACCTCGCTGATCTTGCTCTGCCAGAAGAAGACCTCCGGGCCCAGGCGGTCAAGACTCTTGCTCAACCTATGGGGATGGAGAAAAGAAAGCAGAGATGGCAGCCCCTCTCCTGCCAGGGGAACCATGCCAGCAGAGTTTCCATTCCCTTTGGGTTGGAAACAGAGGGATGTTGTGGCTTCACTGAGCTCTAGCAGAGCAGGATTGACGGCCGATTGAACATGAGCCAGCAGTGTGCCCAGGTGGCCAAGAAGGCCAACGGCATCTTGGCTTGTATCAACAACAGCGTGGCCAGCAGGTCCAGGGCTGTGATTCTCCCCCTGTACTCGGCACTGGTGAGGCCGCACCTCGAGTGCTGTGTTCAGTTTTGGGCCCCTCACTACAAGAAAGACATTGAGGTCCTGGAGCGTGTCCAGAGAAGGGCCACAAAACGGGTGAAGGGTCTGGAGAATATGTCTGATGAGGAGCGACTGAGGGAACTGGGCTTGTTTAGCCTGGAGAAGAGGAGGCTGAGAGGAGACCGGATCACTGCCTACAACTCCCTGAAAGGAGGTTGTGGAGAAGTGAGTGTTGGTCTCTTCTCCCTAATGACAGATGATCGGACGAGGGGGAATGGACTCAAGCTGCGCCAGGGGAGGTTTAGATTGGATGTAAGGAAGAAGTTCTTCACCGAAAGGGTTATCACACACTGGAACAGGCTGCCCAGGGAGGTGGTGGAGTCACCATCCCTGGATGTGTTTAAGAGACGGGAGGATGAGGTGCTGAGAGACATGGTTTCGTGGTGGACAGATACGGTTGGACTGGATGATCTCTAAGGGCTTTTCCAACCTAGTGATTCTATGATTCTAGGATATGTCAGGCTACTTCTGCAGACACCCAGAGCCAGAGTCCCAGGAGGGCTCTCAACCCACAGATTCACTCAGGGAGGAACCCCCTGAGCTATGGAATGGCTCTAGAGGGCAGCAGCACTCACTGGGGACAGCCAGGGACCTCACCCCAAATGTGAGCCGTGCCAAGGCTGCGCCAGCAGGAACAGGAGAGCCCAGCCAGGCTGGGGACGCTCAGCAGGCACGGCAGAGCAGCGGGATGACACAGCCCATCTACACCCATCCTGCTGCCAGAGAAAGGGAGGGATCACCCCTCCTGGCATTTGTCTGGCTGTGAGCGCAAGCTGGGATGGCCACCTCCTTCCCTGGCTGCGCTGGATCCTCCTCACATTCCAAACAGGCTGAAAAGCACTTGATGTCCTTCCCACTGTGCCATCTCCAGGTGGGAAAGGAGACATGCACAGACAAGTGAAGGGCTGATAAACCCATTATCACCCACGATCCTATGGATGCCAATCCCTTGGGAGCAAGTAATGGGGAAGAAGGTATTTTCCAGGCTCTTACCTGGGCCTCTCCACAAAAACATCTTCAGGGAGCAGATAGGGAGCTTCCTTCTGTCGCATCTGGATGACCTGCGGAAGACAAGGAAGGAGTCAAGCTCAAACCCCACGGGTGGCCGGGAGAGCCGATGCCGGGGGGGCTGCGGCCAAGGCTGCAGCCCCAGCCCCTCCCTCGCACCTCGTGGATGTGCTGGCAGAAGGTGGGCACGGTGGTGAGCTGGCTGATGAGGTTCAGGTAAGCTGCGCCGAGAGCAAACAGCGCGCAGCGGTTGTAGGCTGTCAAGTTATCCTCGTTGAGCTGGGCGATCTCCTGCAGCAGACAGACAGTCCTGTGAGATTAGGATGAACACGGTCCCAGCGTGGGCTCCGTCTACCTCATGGCATCACCTGCCCTGAAAAGGTCTCAGCTTTTGGAGCTGGGGTTGGCAGCACTTCAGAGGTTGGAAAGGTGACTGGGGTCCCCCCAGCGTGTTGGTCTGATCCCACTATGGCGGGAGAAGCTCAGAGCAGCTGAAGCACCTGCATTCCCTTTCCTCAGAGACCCCAACACCAAAACAAGCCCCTTCCCAGAGGCTCCTTCCCACAGCATCTCAGCCCACCCCGCAGCGCGGAGCGCCAGCAGCGCACCCAGCTGCGTCCCCACCTACCTGCACTGCCAGCACCAGGCGGATGAGGTCCACCACGACCTCCTCGTTAGCCAGCTCGATGCTGATGAGCATCAGCATGCTGTAGAGCGCCTCGTAGTGAGCCTGCACGTTGCTCTCCTCCTTGCATATCAGGTAGATGTGCCGGTAGAGCTGCTGGCCATGCTGTGGGGACACGGAGGGATGCAGTCACCCCCTCAGCATCCCCCTGCGAGGGCGACACTGCCATCCGTGCAGGGAAAGAAAAGCAGCAGAGCCCAGCAAAGGGGCCTCCATCCCTGCAGGAAGGAGTAGAGCTCCTCTGGACACCAAGCAAGGGAAGACAGCCCCAGGGAGAGGGAGCTGTGGCTATCAGGTGGTGTTTCACCGTGTGATGCTGGACTCTGACAGGGAAGAGACACCAGCAGGTCCAACAGCAGAGCCCGGAGCAAGGAAAGAGCACTTGCAGCACCAGGGAAAGGATGCCTCTGTTGCAGAAGCTTTATAGAAATCATGGTTCAGATCACAACAGAAAAATAAAGCCAAGACAGATGGTTTGACTGCAAGGCATGGGACAGAGCAGGGCACACGCTGGTGCAAGGGAAACTCAGCTCTGCAACGGTTTTTGGTTTAGGGGCTGCACTGCTGCTCTGTGGTGTGCACAAGGTAATAAACTGATACTCTCTTGGCCTCAAGCTGGCTCCAGAGGGGTTTGCACCCCCTGGAAGTGTTTTAAGAGGGTAAGGACGGGAAGAGGATGAAAATAGATAAAACCAGGCAACCTCAAAAGTCACCTGATAGACAGCTTTTGGGTATCAGCACATCCTGGGGTACCCATCCCTGGGGCAAACAGCAGATTTAGGAGTCTAGAAAGGCCCACACATGAAGAGCTGATGGAGACTGAATCCCACTGGCTTTTCCCAGCGACATCCCCATGTTTCAGGGCATCATGGTACGCCCAAGACTCTGTGATTTGGAGTCCTCGCGCTGGTCTGCACAAGGGCAGCTTGACCCAGCCCCCGACACTACCTTCTTCATGAAGACAGTATCTTGGCGCGAGCATTTGTCCACTTTCAGCTTCAGAACTGAGATGTCACTGATGGTGCTGCAAGGAAAAGCCAAGGGGAAAGGAAAACTCAGACATCGGAGGGAGGGGGTGCAATTCCCACCTGCCTGCAGAGCTGCTGGCCAGGAATGAACTGAGGGGGGAAGCTAAAGATGGCTTTTAAACCCCATCTGAGCAATTCAGATATTTAAAAGTACTGAGCCAAATCCCTATGGGATTTCGGGGCTCAGGAGCACAAAGGCAAGCTGACAAAGAAGGTTGCAAGTGAAGTGGATTAGCAGGAGCACAGCAAAACCCATGGAGATGTTTCCACCTGGGAATACAGTCACTTCCTTCCAAGGTAACATGGGATGGATAACACGAGTGCCCAGCAGGCCTATCCATGGGGACGCAATGAAGCTGATGAACCCACTCGAGTAGGTGGTTGCTCCTGCACATCCTCCTGGGACCACTCCAACCATGGTGATGTTCAGCAGCGTGGTCCCATGTACCCCTGGGCACGGCCTCTCAGAGAACTTCCCCCCCACGCCCCAATCTGGCTCTTAGCAACCCACTGATCAGCACTAAACCATCCCAGAATTGGGAACAGGTTTATTAATCACAGAATCATGGAATGGTTTAGGTTGGAAGTGACCTCAAAGCCCACCCAGTGCCACCCCCTGCCATGGGCAGGGACACCTTCCACTAGACCAGGTTGCTCCAAGCCTCATCCAGCCTGGCCTTGGACACGCCCAGGGATGGAGCATCCACAGCTTCTCTGGGCAACCCGTCCCAGTGCCTCCCCACCCTCTCCGGGAAGAATAATCCTACCAGCGCTCCCAGCCTAGCAGATCTTGCTCCCAAGCCTGCTCTGGAGGGTCTGCAGGTCCCAGCCCCATTGGGGAGCCCCCCCCGGGACATACCTGATGGCGGAAAACTTCTGCCGGTTCCCATGGCGATCAATAAAGCTGATGAGAATCTCCAGGACGAAGAGGCGGATCTCAGCATCCTCCATGAGGGCTGCAGAGAGCAGTCTGTCCAGGAAGGCGCTGGGAAGTGCCGTCAGCATGTTACTGCACTGGAAGCCCATAGAGACCTGCAAGCATCAAAGGAAAAGGGAGGCATCAGGACAGTGTCACCTGGGGCGGGTTAAAACCCACCAAGGAAGAGGGGATGCAAGCAGAGAAGACTAAATACAGCTTGAGCTCTTCCCAAACTACCCCGGGGGGAGAGGGTCCCCGAGGACAGCTCCCCCACGCCAGCAGCTGGGGACCTCTCGTGTCCCATGGGAGCTGGGGACTTGTGCAGGGACGGTGACATGTTCATACCTGGAGGAGGGACTTGAGAAGCATTATCTGTGTCAGCCGATTCCGGTTTTCCCTGTCATGGAAAGAAGAAACAAATGGTAAAATCCAAGTGAAAACAAGAAAACCCTCTTTGGGTATGGGTATCTTTCCATACCCAAAGGATGGAAAAGTCTCAGGAATGGCAGGACCAGTTTCCCAAGAGGCAGCACCGCAAACAGTTGTGCTGTAAAGGTCTCCAGTAAATGAGCTCCAGATTTAACAGCCAGCAGAAGGGCTG